CTGCTTCACTCCCCCTGCCGACGTAAACAAAGAGTCACCTCAAAGACTTTTTTCTCTGTCAAGATAGGTCACGCCGTGAACTTTGACCGCTGGAAAGTGTCGCATGTAAAGTACTCGCACACATTACAATATTTAGTAAAATAACCTAAACGTTAGCTTGTGTCAGCGATAACCTATTTACTCAACAGTCTCCGCAACTTAGATTTCACCCGGCGTACGGCCACCCTACGAAACAGGAAGCTTGCATTTGTTACGTACTTAAAGACACGTCTAAGTGTTATCAGAATCAGCTTTATTTGCGAGGAATTTGTCTCAGGATTGTATATTGCTCACGATGTGCTTACTCATACAATAATACAATTATAAAATAAAATCAGACACAGTAGGCTACAGTATAGAGAACACAATATATACACACAATAAACAGAAACAAAAGCAATATAGACAGATTGAGCTGTATCTTACTATAACCTTAAACATTACATTGGAACAGGAAGGGTACATTAATAATGTAATTCTGTGAGCGGCTAAAAGTAACAATGTAGTCTGTCCAGCGAGATTTTACTAAATATCGACGCTTGGTGCAGCAATTCTCTCGCCTCAGTTGTATACTCTCCGATAACTTGAGCCAATCACAATGAGCTGTCGTGTCCAAGTGGGGCTACGGCAAGCCACTTGGTCCTGAATAACTGGTTATTGATGCCAGCCGACTAAGAAAACATAACTGTCCACGGATTCAAGTGCCGCTACAAATTATTTTCAAGTAAGTATTAAATAGCCCTTTAAGTAATTACATAATTGAGCGGAGGATGGTTTGTGGGTCAAACAGGCCATGGCATTTTAACGCTGTCCTGAAGCTTCATGTTAGCGCATCTTGTCAGCGGTAATGTTACAGTCAGCCTTTTTGCTAACGTTAATGCTTTCATTGGTATTTTACTGTAAAAACGTAAGTTATGTAACGTTAACGTTATATATGATACCTACAGTATGTAGCTCCATCGGATAGTTTCATAGCACGTAAATACCGCTATTTAGCCCATTGTTTTTCTATTGAAGTTAAAGTTGCCTCTCGACGTTTCATGTGACTTTGGATATAGGCTATCTAATGTTACACTGTTTTATTTTATTTACAACAGATTTACTGCATGTTGTCTCCGCTGTTGACCGTATGGCGTAGTTAAATCACTTAGAGCCAGCTCAATAAAATGTATCTAAAGCTCATTTAGCTCTAATAAAGCGATAATGAAACCGCAAAGGGAAAAAACCCTTAGGGGTAAATGGAGGTTATTTAATTACAAACTGGGATATATTAATGAAAAATGTGAGGAAAAACTGAACTAAAGAGTTTAAAAAATATACATTTAGTGTATAAATAGGCTATGTAAAAAAAAAAAAGGGGGGGGGGTGATATTCACTATATATTTATTGTTTACAGCACATTAAAGTCTTTAATTTAACTTGCTGCCTGTCTGTCCCTGTTTGCCTGTCTGTCTGTCTGTCTGTCCAGCAGAATGAGTAGTTGCAGGAGTAGTGTGCAGTGGGGGGGTCTGTTCCTCCTCCTTTCCTCCTATCTGTTGAGTGTCCACTCTCATATGGATCCACAACAGCAGCAGCAGCCGCCACCGGTCGTAGAGAGTGCAGGTCACATATCCGGCCACGGTCACGGTCGCCTGGACAAAACCATGGTCCAGGACAAAGAGTGAGTGATATCTCCACATTCACGTTCAAAGCATGTTCTCTGCCAGTGCTGTAGATGCACGGTTCAGCACTTATTTGCATAGCATGGTGAACTTTGAACAGTCAGCAGCAGCGTCCACACACACTACTGAGTATATAAAAGCTGTGGTTTTTAACTCCTCTTTTGTCTCCCAGCCACATCATGGAGCATTTAGAAGGTGTGATTGACAGTCCAGAGAAGGACATGACACCTCAGGAGCTTCAGCTGCACTATTTCAAGATGCATGATTACGATGGCAACAACCTGCTCGATGGGCTGGAGCTAGCCACAGCTATCACACATGTACACAGAGAGGTAGGTGCGTGTGTGTGTGTGTGTGTGTGTGTCTTAGGTGTGAACATACACATTTACCTGCTTTATATACTAGGTTATATACTTTTTAGTAACACTTTAATATTTTTCTAACACAAATAAGTTGCTTTTACTACCCTGGAAAACACATTTTACCATCATGTGAAACTGTGACTCGTGCATTTTGGGGTCGGTCGCTCCCCAAAACCCTGTTTGTGCTCCCTAAATGACCCTGGTTGTTTTGAAGAGTCTGAAATTTCTGAAAAGGAAAGAATTGACAAACGGTATTTCACAGTGGATTGCTTCATCAGCTGCACTGGATGAATTACGCCCCAAGTTAACAGCTTGAGTCAGAAACATGTCCGATTACAGAAGCAAGACACCTTTCAAAAACATGCTCGGCAAACAGCGGCACCGGACGAGATGATGGAGCTAATGGCCGTGTGTGGAGCATCTGTAATTCACGTTAACTGTCATTTTTTATTTACTAAATGAACATCATGCTGTATTGAAGAAGACTTGAAACTAACGACAGAGAAAATAAGACAAAGAAAAAAAGAGAGAGAGAGGGGCTAAACACAAACCTAAACCTCAATTGGTCTGTATTTCATTATAATCACTTTCTGTATAAAATATACAGATTAAAATCACATCTAGACTGTTGTAGTGGCCACACAGCAGAAGCCGATGTGTCACTTGGGAACACAGCATACACACACTCGCAGCAGGTGTAAATTCTGGCCAGCCCATCTGGAACTTCCACTAAGCTATCAACTAGTGGGAGACTCAAGCAGCAACCAATGAAGTCCGACTGCATTTGAGTCACTATATAATATATATAGCGCTACTTCTCACTTAACTCATTAATCACTAATGAGTTTATGGTCTCTGAACCTTTCACAGTGTGTTTTCAGTTCATGAAAGTTAATTGTAAAATTTTGGGCATGTCTTGTTCAGAGTTTGGTTGTAAGACACTCTTAAGGAGTCGGCTATCATCTTTTTCCAGTAGGTACATTTTGTTTTAAGCCTGTTTTTTGCTAGTCAAACTTAGCATCCCAATTAATATCCCATTTAATGTGAAGAAAGGATGCGCCTTACTAACCAAGCTAGCTAGCTCCGCCCTCTCGTCCTAATACGGTCACTTCTGGTTCCAAAAACCCAAGATGCCGACGAACAAAATGCCAAACTTCAGGTTTCTAGTGAATTGTATCTGTTGTTGTAACATATGCATAATTCATCTACATAAATGTTTTTCTATCTTGTTTTGTCAGGAGAGAGGAGAGAACAGCCAGCCGATGAAAGAGGAGGACCTTATTACACTCATTGATGATGTTCTGAGGGATGATGACAAAAACAATGATGGTTATATAGATTACGCTGAGTTTGCCAAATCCCTGGAGTGACATTGGTCATGTCCACAACTACAGCAACAACAACAAGGAATCTGCAGAGAAGAGAAGAAAAGTCAAACTGAGACGCTGCTGCCAAGCCGTCTAGAAAACCATGGTTTAATCTTTGCTTTCTCTCTCACAGGCGATCAATCAGGGTTATTGGTAATTAATGAAGTTTTGGAAATTTTTGTACTTTCTAAGCTTATACTTTTTTTTTTTTTCTCATGTCACATCCAAGCTGGTAGCATCAAAACTGGTTATGCCGGTAATTTAACAGAGGAGTTTTTTTTAGTTTGACTCTGGTGTATGCTTACACTTACAGTGACATTTCTGCTCCTTCTGTTTTTGTAGGTTCCTTGAAATCTTGCCATTTTCAAAGGGCCAGTTCACCCAGTATCACAAAACACTAACCATGGATTTATACTTTTACTCATTTTGGTGAGGTTTACAGCTGTCTGCGGTGACTTCTGCCAAAAGCCCTATACAATAAAAGCCCAAAAGTTCCCAAAAAGTAAAGCCCACTTTACTTTTGGGAACTAGTACAACTACCTATGAAAACTGTCTCCCCAGAGAAACCTGGGCTTTATTTTGATGTGTTGAGCATCACAAACAAAATACCATTCATCCCCATTGTATTGGTATGGTAGCAGAGGTCTCAGTGACAAATTAAACTAAACTATCGGCATTGCTACTGTAGGAGAAAGTCAGAATATTCAGTATGGTGGGGTTTTTTTTTGTAATTTTGGGTGAATTAGCCCTTTTATATATACAGGAGCTCTATAGTGTGTGTTTTTCTTTTAGTGGTGCTACACATAATTCACTCTGGTAGCCCAACATCATCTGAACAGGATGTCATCACTTTAAATGGACTACAGTGTCCGTTTGAGACATGTTTCTGTGCAGTGCGCACGCTGGACTCAAGCAGAGATACACTAATTTAACTTTAGCCAACACACTGCCGCTGTGTGATACTCAACATGGTGGACCAAATGATTCCTTGTGTGAAGCCATTTCATTTGCTGTTTGTGACGAGGATGCGACCAACCGGCCGTTCTCATCACATTGGAATGTGGCCTTGCAGATATACAGTATATAACCTGATGATGTGTGTGTGTGTGTGTGTGTGTGTGTGTGTTAACAGAGTAGAAAACCTTGCTGAACTGATGAGGTGACTCTGGAGTTTATTTTGGAGGGCAGCTCAAAGTCACAGGCAGAACAACACGATACTGAATGTTGCCAGCAGAGAGTCCGTGCAGCGTAGTGGCACGTCAGCGCCACGTGTTACCTCCTGAGGTTGTGTTGCTTTCCTGAAGATTACCACAATTATATGAGCCAATCAGCATCATCTTCACTGTAGTGTGTCAGCCAGCAGATACACGACATAAATGTAACATCATAGACTGAATGTAAAGCAGCACCATACAGCTGATTCTTTATCACTGGATAAACTAGACTTAAAGCACACTGGTTGATGCTGCTGCCGTTGTTTAGAAGCTGATTTAGCTTCGTAGGTTTGCAGTAAAGCACTTGTTATAAACCATTGAACACATGTTTGCTTCAAATCATTAGCTGCCTTGATAACAGATGTGGATCATACATGTCAGATCTCTCTGTTGTTAAATCCATTCTTTGTAAAGTATGATTTTGTATGGATACGTTCTATATTTTTGCCATCCAGTATTGATTCTTCAATCAATTTGGGTTGATCAATGCAAATATTTAAACAACTGAACGCACAACAGATGCAACTGTGTTGTCTCTGGTATGTGAAATATTAAAAACTGTAATCTACAGACTTTGAAGTTTTTTTTATGTGCTGTGGTTTTGAGTCCAAAGGGGACTGAAAAATCTTTTTTTGTTACTGAAAAGGTTTTTGGACAGTTGGGATTCATGTTCAGGACTAGAAATGCTCTAGAAATTGCATACTTAACATTTGCACAATGGTGCACCGTAAAACACATGCAGCAGTAGGTCCACTGACTAAAGGTCACCCACAGTGCACCCGGGAGAACAGTATTGAAGACAATAAGTATGTTGCATTATTAAGAGTGTGTTCTTGTGAAGTGCCGCTCAGCAATAACTAAAAACGTCTGTGGTCGTATATATCACCTTTGTAAACTTGTGAAACACAGAATGCCTAGGTGCAGAAAAAAACTGCTGAGAACTTACATTTGTGCACAATTTATATCAATGGTGAGGTTACACAAAGACTGAGAACAAAAGAGATGCTTTTGTGAACATTTGAGTGCAGATTCAAATGCCACTGTGTGGGAAACTCAGCATTCAAAGTTCCCACACTGTGTATGACACTGAAGTTACTTTTACAGCCAACATCCGGGCCAGAATATGTTCTTGTAACTTAAACGTGTGCCTGTATAATCACAGTGTGGTAGGTGACAAGGAGCATACATGATCACTCAATTTGCTGCAGCTGAATGAGGATTAAAAATATTTTTTAATGTAATATTAGACTTTTTAGATTGGACTCTTCACTTCACACGTCACTTCTTAGCTCCAGTGAGAGGCAGGGTCCAGAGGCTGCATGGAGGCCAGAGAGAACATGGGTGAGGTGAGGTTGCTCCTCAGCGGGCTGTACCACTCTTCATGCTGTCGCTGGGTGGCTGGCGGCGGTGGGACGCTGGGGCAAGGGCACTGGCTGACCGGGCCCGGGTGGCGGGAGTACGCCCCAGAGTGCAGCATGGGGGAGAGGCGGGGGATGTGAGCCAGGGGCTGGGTGTAGTACTGTCGAGCCATGCTGGACGGCTGGACATGCATGCCTCCCAGCAGCGCCCTGTGGCCTGGCATCACACCCATTGGGAGAACTTTCTGTGAGGCCCGCTCCTGCTTCCGCTGTTTGGCTCTTCTGTTCTGAAACCAAACCTGGTTAGAGACAAGGACGAATCAATAGGTGGGTTCAACAAAAGGGGGACATTTAAGCACTGGACTGAGCACTTTGTAAGCATGGTTAAGGCAGCATTTTATTTTTCTATTTCTTTGTAATCAGTTGTTCATGTATTGATGTTTTAATGTGTTTTTTCTTTTGTTATGTGTTCTGTGTGGACCCCGGGAAGAGTAGCATTAGCTTCCTAATTAGATCCTAATAAATCAAATCAATTCAACAGTGGACAACACTGATGAAGTAAATGACAATATTAGGTATTAAAAAGTGCAAGGTGATGTAAAATTGCTTGTTTTGTCCAAGGGTTAACTTACAATTATATTAAAAAGACATAAGCAGTAAATCTTAACATTTGAGCAGCAGGAACCAGTGAGTGGCAATTACAACATTTTCTAAATGTAAAGAAATACATATTAAAGGGAGTGTTCCTATATGTTGCTAAGCAGAAATCACAATTCTATATAATTGGCAATTAAATGAAGTGAGTAATTGGTATCATGCCCTCTGCATATCAGAGTGACTTTGAGTTATCCACGAACCAAGTGACCTCGGCCTATCAAGTCACAGCTGCACATCATGACTGTCAGAAAGTTGACGGTGTGAAATAACTGTAATCGTCCCACCTGTATGCGAGCCTCGTTGAGCTTGGTGATACGGGCCAGCTCCTCTCTGTAGTAGATGTCAGGATATTGGTTCTGTCCAAAGGCAACTTCCAGCTGTTCCAGCTGCTTGTGGCTGAATGTGGTACGGTGGCGTCTCCTGGCTGGGGAGGGGTAGGCCCTGCTCCGCCTGCCAAGGCTGACAGCCATGGAGGTCTCACACAAAGACCCCTTCCTCACCGACTCTCCTATATCTGTTTTCAGGAGGGGGAAAAAAGAGTTGTGTGGATGCTGAAAAGACTTTTACATTTTTGGGGAAACTTCTCCAGCTCCTGTTTCTTGACCTCCTTGGCATGATAATAAAAAAGTGGCCTAAACTTGTAAGGGCGGATTTTGTCAATGACAGTCTCGAAAAGGAGGGATTACGCTGACTTCATGGTTCCCACTGCCATCAGGCAACCTGAGAGCCACAGAGCTTTAGCTGCTAAAGACAAGCTCGTGAGAAAAAGATACCAGAAACTGGAGGATTTGACCAAGATTATTACCACAATCACTGACAAAGTGACTAATCTAACAAATTGGTGGTCTGAGCTGACCTTGACAGTTCACACCATGGTGGTTAGAGAACAGACAGAAGAGGCTGATTCCGTAATTAGCATTACTATTGTTTTCTTATAGACTTTTTCCCCTCTAACTTATTTTAACCAAACCTGGGTACATAATCACACAAAAAACAAAAAAACTTTGTTTTAAAATTTCAGTGTAATTGGATTACTTAGACTTTACAAAGCTTTTAATACTGTTGAAAACTGCTGAATTTTAAAGCAGCTGGGAGAAAATTGCTGGCATATAATGTCAAAACCCACATTGTTAAATTTAACAGTTTCGATGTTGACCATCATGCAACAGTGTAACTCTCTATTGGTGGAATGGTAGGAGACCAACAGTGCATTAAAGTAACTTAAATAATAAACAATTTATATATATATTTATATACTATTACTGAAAATATACAAAAGTAAAACAAAAGGCAAAAAAGTGACATTTTACTGCAAGTATCTCCATCATTGGTGGATGACAGGATGGACTGATAATAATAAACAGACTACTATAATGACAGTTTTTACATAAAGTGGGGTTTTTTTGGACTCACCTGCACTGGAGCTGACAGTAGCCATGTCAGAGTAAACCTCTGCACAGTCCTGTTGGCTCCTCACTGCCTCTCCTGCTACCTTCACCTGGGCCATCCCTGTATCATCTGATCCCCCACACAGACACAACTGACCATAAAGTCCCATGCCATGCCCATGTCCCCGCCCACCCGGTTTACCTGTACCTGTGTGAGGGTCTACGTCAGGAACCACAGCGGAGTGGCTACTGGGACCATACGTTTCCAAGGGTCGTACACTTTTTAGGTGTACCTCCCTTTAATGTATGGATTGAAATAAAAATCTACCTGGAAAGGTTTTCAAAACAATGTACCCACTATCTTTGTTTTATTAATTTTCCATTTAAAATGGATAATATATATAACAAGGTATACCCAGGCATGATCAATAGCTGCTATTTTAAAGGAGTTTAGGGTAGATATTCACTTTGACCACTTTTTCCACTTCATGCGAATGGAAATATTGTACTTTATCTGAAGAGCTACAGTTACTAGTTACTTTGCTGTTTCTGATTTGGCATACAAAATATATGATCAGTTTCTAAAAGATGACGTACTGTTACAGATTATGCCCAACAGTATATAAAGTAGTTACAATTTGCACCAGCTCAACAGTAAAATGCTTCTTACTTGGTAATGCTTTAGTAATAATTAAACAATAACATAATGTATGATGATATAATAGTAACAGGGATATTGAGTACTTTCTGATAGTTTATATACATTTTGCTGACAACACTTGAGTGCATGACTTTTGGCTGTACAGAAAATGATAACTGAGGGATGATAGTTTGCGCTGGAACTTATACGTTGCTGCTTTTGCTGTTATATTGTTGATCATCATCAATTTTTGATTTTGTTTCTGGTGAGATGCAAATGCCTATGTGACCACCAGGTGGCTCTGTTATGTCAGGTTGTGTCACAGAGACTGAAAACTGAACGACAAAACCTTGCATGTGCGAAAGAAAGAATCCTCATATGTCTATATTTATAAGTGTGTATTTAGGTGTGTATTTAGTGTGGAGACCACCCAGCTGAGTACACGCCCCAGTCATCCACAAACACAACCCCTGTCAGGTCAGTTCCCGCATTTAGATTGCTGCATCTTGACTGACAGGGCACCCCGCTGGCTGGATTAACTCAGCTGAACTTCTGTGTAACCTCCCAGGACCCCAGCTGCTATCCTCAGTTCCCATGATGCTAAACTCAGTCCAGGGCCAATGCAGAGAGGAAAGACCCCCTCACGCTTGCACTGGACATTAGGAAGAGACCCACTAATGTCATACTCAGCACTGAGTCATGACAGGGCAGCGTGGAAGGCGGCTCACATTGCTGGAGAGCAACAGCTGGCTTTTTATCAGGGTGCAAACAAGACAGTAATTCATCATGGAGACTATTTTTGTTGAACAGAGCTATTTGCTTGTGTGTGTACAGTATATCCATATAGTGGCAGTAATGTGTACTCTGCATGTGTTGGGCACATATGCAAGGTGGCTAGTTACTAAATCATTTCTTATAGTAGTGTGTGTTTGATAGTGCTGAATTCTGAGTAGTCTCCTCTCCTTCTTGTGTAACAAGTCTGTCGTATCATAAGCCATTTGACCCGAGCGATACATGTGACTCCCAAGAACCAGTAAATCAGAAGTTCAAACGCAGACTGGAGATGTGTCACAGTGATACAGTAGATTTACCCCCAACCCCCACACACTCCCCCAACCACCTCGGTCAGTATCCTTGGCAGAAAAGTGTAAACGACAAAATGCAGTGATTGAATGACCTGCTGTAGAAGTAGTCCTGCAGGAATGTTTTAACGTATTAATTTTCTGGTTGAATATACAAATGACCCTTGAGATTGAACCAGCGTTCCTTGTAGATTCCTTGAGAAAAGTCCCCGGTCTTGTTCTGGCTGCTCTAAACAGCAACACCTAATTTGATTCCTCGTGACAAGTCGTCTGCGAGGGCCAAGTCCTGTGTGTCCTGGAAGAGCTTCCATCATTCCTGCATTGTGTGTGTGTGTGTGTGTGTACTTGTGCACGGCTGCCAAGTCCTCCACGGATCCCATATTCAGCTCACATGTTTCCTGTCCCAGACAACGAATCAGCCACAACCCCCCCCCCCCCCCCCCAGCAAAGCACACTGAGCCTGTCTGTGTGCCCTGTCTGTACCTCCACTTCTATTTGTCTTTCTAGTACATACTACATATAGAAAAAAAAACCCAATCATTTACCAGTCTTAAAATGTATTATCTCCTCATTCGTTTTTAGTAGAAAGGTTTGGAAGAGGTTCATTTTGAAACAAGTGAAGTTATCTCATCTCACTGGGAGATTTTTGCACTTGTTTGAGGAAAAATGAGCAACAACTATTAGGTTGGTCCATTTTTCTCATAAAACCCAGACTCACTGTCTTCCTTTCAAAGAGGATGTTATCATATGTCCTCTTCATCACGCCAGATGCTCGTCCATTTGTCATTAGAAGTAAAATTTGGATTGGTGGCTGAGTAAAAGATGTTTCTGTTCAGTGTCATTAAATGATTCTTCTTTGTGCAATAAAGCAGTACAGCAGTTTTTCCTGCAAAAAAACTGGGGGTACAAGAGAACGCAATTATGAGGCTGCCATTGTTTTTAAAGATCGGCTTGTGTTTGCAGCATCCCTCTGGTCTCAAAATGGACCTCACTTTAAAGCTGCTGAAATCAGTATTTTTTTAATCAGCAATGGATCAAATAATTGTTGGTTTTAGGTTCGCAATTTTACTGTTTTTAGTCACTCTCAACGCTCTCATCCGCCGTGTTTCTAGATGTAGCAGACAACTGTTTTCAGCAACAACAAAAAAATTGATACACACACTGTTCAATAACAAAACAGCAGACCGGCTAAGTAAATGCTCCGTATTTGTATAGCGCCTTTCTAGTCTTTTCAACCGCTCAAAGCACTTTTACACTACATCACATTCACACATTGAGCCTAAGTGCACAAACAGAAACTAACATTCAGACACTGGTGGAACAGCCACCAGGGGCAATTCGGGGTTCAGTATCTTGCCCAAGGACACTTCGACATGCAGCCTGGAGGAGCCAGGGATCGAACCGCCGACCTTCCGATTAACTGGCAACCCTGCTCTACCTCCGCAGCAGCCCAACTTAGAATCTAAAACCTAGACCTCCACACAGAAAGGCCTGGGCTGACCGAGGTCTGGACCCAGGACCTTCTTGCTGTGAGGCCGCAGTGCTGTCCATTGAAAGAGGAGAGAAAGAGGGTTTGGCGGGAGGGATGTGAGAACTGAGAAACTGCTGAGGAAAGGGTTGGACAGGCTTATATACATACATATGTGCTGGTGACTGGATTGGAGAGGCACAGGTGGATGAAATGAGTGATGCACAGGTGTGGTTGGATTAGTGAGTGAGGGGTGGTCTTTTTCCTGAACCTCAGTTATCATTTGTGATCTGGTGAGCATAGTATATGATTCACATAAGACTTTGTATATCCTCACACTCACCCTTCACACTGATCTTGGTTTCCATGAAATGTCCATTTCTTTAATTGGTATTACACAAATTAAGATCATCTACACCTCATTTGCCAGACTTTTCACTCCAGGCACTTATCTTACTGTCTTTAAAATCCCTGCTTTATCAGTTGCTGAGGTGCATATGATCCTCAGTGTGCATTACTTTGGAACAGTCAAGAACTGTTGGTTGCACTGAGTTGTACATGGAGGCAATGAATTAGAAAAGGAAGTGAAGGCAACACCGTCATGCTACATTTTACAGGAGATGCAGATACTCAGGAATTACAGGCAGGTTTCTGTGTGTTCTGTGTGTTGTTTTGCATGGTGTGTAAGTGGTGAACAGGACAGGAGATGCAGGGATGTTTGGAGGGAGACAGAACCATTGCTTCAGTACATGGATCTGATTTCTTTTCATAGGAAAGTGCAATAAATATACATATATTTGTCTTGGTTTCCTCAGTGACACGAAGAGTTCTTGATCATTGCAGCAGCCAGTACTGAGTGTCTCTCTGAGCTCTGAACTAATGTCCTCTTGCACAGTGTTGTTCAATCTGCAGAAGAGTCAGTATAGCGTGAAAAATATTGTAGATACAGATCAAGAACCTTAGAGGGGAGAACTTTCTTTCACTTTCTGTCTTACACACATGTACACAGACACACACATCATCTGCTGAGTACACACGTCTGCACCATTTCATACAGTACACACATGTACACACCTGCACACTTACACACCACATACAAACGCGCGTCTCCTACTCTCGTAAGAGACATGCAAGTCGCATTACACTGGGTGCTCAGTTTCAAACAACACACACACACACACACACACACATACACATGTGCCTTGGGTGTACACAGGCCTCTGTGTGGTTGTGGCCATGTCCAGTATGGACACATAGAGGAAATTCTTCCCTCCCAATTTCCCGGGACTGAACTGGGAGTGACCTGGTTGGCAGACACACAGCCCCGATGGAAGGAATGTAACTCAACTCCCCCCGCCTCACCCTCAAAAACGCCCCCTTACCCATCCAGCAGTCTGCTGGCCCAGCTGTGTGAGGACAGAGCAAGAAACACACAGTACTGTAGGAAGATTCGTGAAACTCCTAACTGTACTTTGGTGAATATTCATCTTTGAGGAGTTCATTGTGTAAAAGATTCATCTCTGTTCGACACTGTCTCTAGGCATCACTAAAGCACCAACACACTAACACATATGTTTTTCTTTTCTTGAGCAACTCAGAAAGTACTTCCAGTCCCACCAAAAACAATAACCATAAGAGCAGCAACAACAGAGCAAAAGCAAAAAACAAGAGTTGAAAATGTGAAAACAGAGGCCCTAACAAAAGGCAAGAAAAGAAACTCCACAATAAGTACAGCGAAAATACAGAGAAACAAGTGCAACCACATAATCAGTCATTACTCCTAACACCAATAAACAACAGCAGGAAGAATAACAGAAATAGCATGTTACGTTTAGCACCAAGCTCAAAACAAAGCTAATGTTAATGCCTAATGTCGCATGTCGCATTTGCATCAAATGAAAGTTCCTATATAAAACATTTGGCTTGTAA